CTGTTATGGACAGCTACAAAATAATCAAAACATTATAGTTTTTAACTCAATGAAGACTCTTGGGCAGGTGTATATACTTTACCTTGTACGGTACAAAGTAAAGTAACTCCTTGGTCCTGGCCATTCACTATGGACTTTTGTAAAATATGATGTACTTACAGATGTATACCTGTTTGTATATATATATTTAATGTAATTGAAAGGTTATTTTCACTTGACAAAAAAGAGAATTCAGCAAAAAATAAAGGGCATATTACTGCTGTCTAGCTTTCACGTGGCTGGAGAGGGGTCAGTGCTCTGTCAGCACAGAAAGCCAAATGCAGTCCTCCAAAACTGTGTTAAATAAATGATCAACCCCCTAAATTAATGGTAAATGTTAAAGAAAGCCTTGCCTTAAAAAGAAGTTTTCTTACCAGAACTACTAGATTTAAATAATTTTAGAGTTAAATTTTTGGAGTAGAATCTACAGAGAGTGAACTTCACTCTGAGTGAAGTCTGAGGCCTAAAAAAAGACACTAATCTTTTAGGAATATAAAATTTGAAAAAGAAACCTGTGGTATCTGAATTGCATTATATCAACTCTACTTTGCTTGATGAGATTATGAACAGCATGAGGAGAACCTTGGCTGCATCTCCATTATATTTTTGTAGGACAGCCAAGCAGTTTACTCACCCATATGTTTTGGGTCCCAAAATCAGTTCTAATAACAAGAAACAAATGTACCAAAATCAAGATTCAGTTTTGTTAAATAATTATTTATAGTGACTACGACTTGGAGAGGATTCAATAATACACTGAATAGAGATGCTTTTTGACTTTTGATTGAAATTTTACTCTTGAAAAATAAGTAAAAGGTTTAAAGGTCAAAGTGTAATGCCCAAATCATTAAGGTCTGCATTTCAGAGAATTCTTTTAAAACAAGTACTGATTGGAAAGATATTTTCACTTTCCACCTTAGAAAGACAGAACTATTCATGTGATAGCAACTGTTGATTATGCAAATGTTCAGGTTTGCATTCTCCTTGTGATCAACCAACATTGAATTTTTTGTTGAAATTGTGAGAGAAAAAAATTGGTTATAAATTTCTTCTGTATCTGTGTATATTTTTTGAGATCCTTTAATTAAGACTTTAATAACAAGGAAGGAATTTCTCTTTTTTTCTTCCCACTAAACATACATAAAATGTTATCTCTTTCTGCTGCAGTGCATACAGTGTTTTAATTGCATTTCATTGTTCCTGAACCTAATTTGTTGGAAGTTAAATTTAACGATATTAGAGCTGGAAGCTGAATCAGTGTTCAGATGAAAGAATTTGGCAAGATGGGCTATTATGCATAGTAGACCCACAAGTCCTTTTTATTTTCCTTTTGTCTTTAAGAAGGTCTAATTTATTTTAAGAATGAGTTGGTATTCAAGACATAAACATTACACCTAATAGGTGTATTGCAGCCTTTTTTGAAAGTGCTGTAATTCTTCCATATAACAAAAAATTCCAATTACACACATCACAGAGTGCTTTTAACATGAAGAAAATGGTTACTACATGTTTAACTGAAAGAGAATCCTCGAATCACTTAGTTTGGAAAAGACCTTTAAGACCATCCATATTTGGACATATTCCAAAGAATGAAGAACAAAAAAAAAGCAAAAGAGCCCAAACAAACAAATAAGCTTACCAACCTTTTCCAGTAGCTAGTCCATTCATAAAGGAGAAGAGTTGGAGTACTTGGAAGTAGTAAAACTGGTAGCTGCCACCTAACTTTGCTTATTGGAGTTAATCTTGGTAATGATACTCATATCCATCTCTCAAGTCTTTCCTCCGTATCTGTAAAATAGTTATCTAATTCTGTGTGAGCTATGTATAAGAACAACATGTCCTGCTGCAGGTTGAAGGGACACTGGAGCTCATTTAAAACCAGGATTGTGTCTGGGACACGCTCTGTAGTCAGCTTTTTGCTGTTTTTTGTTGTTGTTCATTGTTTGTTGTTTGGTTTTATTTTATTGTTGTTGTTGTTGACTGGGACTTTTTCCTCTTAGGAAGGGTGATACAGCTAGGCATGTCTGTTGATCAGAACAAAATTGAAGAGTAGATGGGCAACATCTAGACATGGTAAAACAAGTATGATCCAGAATCCAGCCCTCCCTCAAGTCCTAAGGGGATTTTGATTGTTGATCAGGACGGACAAATGGCATTTCACTTTGCTATCAGATGTGTGGGGAGGAGGGGCTTTTATCAGAAATGAAGCCAACTAATGAAAGACGTACATGGAATACCTGTCTTGTAGCTCTCCAGGGTATGTGCTTCCAATAGAAAAATGAATTACTGTGTGGAATCATGTTTTTTTAGTTGGCTAAAATCACATGCTGAATGGGTTTCAGTAATCTAGTGTTCACAAAACAAATAAAGACCCAAAATTTTGTGTTGTAACAATTTCTGTCATTGTTACAACATAGAATTTTGGGGTCTTTATTTTCAAATTTCTTATATATAAAAGTTGCAGTCTCCTGGCCACACCCATAAAGACAAAACTAAAGAAATCCTACTGGTTTCTGGGGTGAAATCATGTTACACCAGTTGTCATTCCACTTGGGTCACAACCCTATAGATTTAAAGGCTGGAAAGGACAGCATTGGATTTCTGCACCTAACCAAACAGCTTGTGGTTGAACTGTGAGAATATTGTTTAAAATTAAATCCTAATTAGAAGAAGCTGAAAACTTCTTGCCTTTCTGAGAAATCTATTTCACTGGTTAACTAACCTTATTGTTACAGTGCAAGTTAGCAGTCATTTGAATTTTGTGCAGTTTTACTGTCAGCATGGCAAATAATCAAATGGGAAGCAAACAGTATCATAAAGAGTATTATAAAAAGGGAGAGTGTTGTCACCTCTGTGTGGGGGCTAGACAGGATCAGCTTTTCCCACATGTTTGTTGGCTCAAATAGAGTGAGAAGGATGTCATATGGAACATCTTAAAGATCTATACTTTCTACATCTGGGATGATGAATCAGGGTTTAAGTTACTTGTCTGTTAACATGTGCTGCTCTTGAGGAGATGAGGGGAAAAAAAGAACAGGAACAAAGGGAGTGAGGGTCTTGCAAAGATGGAATGATGTGGCATTATGTTACTGTGTTGCAAATGGCATCGAAATACATTGATGGAAGAATACTTTTGGAAAATTGAGTCTCTGACATTAAATGATTGTGTCTTGAAAATTCCCTTTTTTTCATGATGAATAAGAACAGTGTTCATCTCTGAGCTTAGATCAGGAGGATGACAGAACTTAATTTCTCTGTCACTCCTCCTGTTGGAAAAAACCAGAAATAAAAATCATAATGTTGACATGTTGCCACAGAAACTGGAGGGTTCCTCTGTAGTTACACATCTGTGTTCTTACAAAACTAAATTCCTACTTCAGTTTCCGCATAATCCTGAAGCTAACAGTGGGAGTCTGATTAAAAAAAAATAAGGAGTTGTAGAGTCCAAATAAATTGTTGTAAATCTAGTAGTGATTACCTCTCCCCAGCCTCCTTTCTATATATACAGGTGCACATGTTTTCTTTCAAAAGCTTCTTAAATTGTTGAAGAATTGTTACGTTTAAATTGTCCATGTATCTTTTCTGTCTGGAGCAGTCCATTTCAATGGAAAGTATCAGCTTCCATTAGTGGAACAATTCCCAATGCTTTTTGTTCCTCACTGCAGCTAAGCCTTTCAGAGGTGTAAAGTTCTGGAGGAATGAATATATATGCAACTCTTTTGCTGCAATTTCATGTTACTCTCTGATGTACGGGGCTTGAGGGGAGGGAATATGACCAGATGGAAATGGCTTTCTTATCCAAGTGGAAAAGGTTTAGTCAGCTTGCAGACAGGCTCCATAAACATAATACAGTAGAGAAACTCACAGAGCTGTACTTTAATGGCCATTAAAATTGCCTCTGCAATGCATTCAGAGTCAGGATACAGGGAATACATATGCTTGTATTATGAATAGAAGACAAATGTCTTCTGAGCAAAAGAAAAATCTAATGTTAATTAAACTTTTCCACAGTTTGGGGTAGATAATTCTGCTTTTGTGTTGTTAAATGTCTTTTGATTTTAATTGCATGACAAAAAAATTGACTGTAAATGTAATGTTAGCAAATATTCATATTTGATTGCAAGCATCTGTGAATGCTAAGTCAAAGAATTAAATGCTTTTAATTGGGGTGGGTTTGTTTTTTTTTGGTTTTTTATGAGTTTTTCCTTTTGTATGTTGGGGGTTTTTTTCTGCCAAGACAGCCACACTGATAATAAAGCTTGTACTGTCAGTTATGCTGAAGGTCATTCCTATAACCTGTTCAGTGAGATCTGCTCCCCTTTGGGCGAAAAAAAAATCAACAGAGCATATCTAAAAATGTCTAGGAAATCTTATTACAGTTACTGAATTTCAGTTACATATTTCAGATTCATGTGGAATTCAATGAATGCTCTGACCAAATATGAAAAATTGTAGCAAGTTTCCAGTATTATGCACAGGCTTCCTCTCCCTCCCCCCTTTTATGGCTGTCTTAGAGAAACAAGGCACATTCTCCTCAGAGATGGCAAAGGATAAACTGAAATGATTAACATTAAAACATACCTAATAGTGTGATATGTTTTAGAACTGGAAACAAAGGTAGGATATGTCTTATCCATCTGTCTTGACTCCCTGTGCATCTGTCTGTCCCTCTAGAGCAAGTCAATAAAAATGATTAGAGCTGGCATCTCACAAAGGCACACCCTTAAACCATGAAGCAATAATACTGTGAAGGAAATTTTTTTCTGACCTTTTCAAATTACATCCAACTGTCTAGGGAATTTCTCAGTGACTAGAGGTAATAAAGTTCAATCCGTTTTGCTGGTTGGCTTCAAATTCAGCTCCTCAGAAGCCCTAACTTATCTTTTCTTTTTATCTTGGCCTTGGCATCTATTCAGTACAATAATCCATGCATCTAATCTTTTTTTTCTCTCCTCTCTCAGGTTTAGCTGGTGGATCATATTGTGAAATCTGCAGCCATGAAAGGCCCTCCATTTACTGCACCCTTCAAAACGAAATGTTAGCATGGGAGGCTAAGCTGGTATGTTGCCTTTGAGAGGCTCTTGTTGAATTTAATTAGCTTTTAGATTTCATCTCCATCTCGCATCTCAGCTTTCACTATTGTGTGTGATTTAGGCTTCAGTGCTTTCATTATTTGAAACTTTTCCAACTTGACTGTGCCACATTAGAATACCGAGGGGGAAAGTAAAGTTTAAAATTCATTGTCTTAAATTGATTTCTACTTAGTTTTTATGATGTGAGCTCAGAAATAATAGAGACGCGGCCTCCCAGTAAGTTAGTGAATCATTCAAGTGATAAACAGGCATTTCTATATGTCTTGTTTCTCACTGTACTACATAAGTACCTGGAAACAGGTAAAGAACATTTTTAGCAAAATATTTCTCAGATTATTTTGAAAGTCATAAAAACTAGGCTTTGCTACTGACACTTCCCTGAAATATTAAGTCTGTGTTTAGTTATATCTGATGTGCTATTGAATGACCTGTGGAATATTCAAAGTGCATGCATATCTAAAAGCATGTGTAAAACACTTACTTGTAATCATGGAAGAAATACACTGGAAGACATATTCAGCCAATTTACATATAGTTATAACTGAAAGGAGTAGCTGCAAAATGTTTTGGTAAAGATGTGAAGCTGACTTCTTTTTTTCTGAATTAATTTTTTTTTTGATTCTCCCTTCTGAAGTGTAGGGGAACCTGGTCAGATAGATAAAGTACAAAACTGGGAGATTATAGATCTTGTCCTGTATGTAAATGAGCCTCTAGTAGGGCGATGTTTGTCAAGTCACTCAATAATTTTGCTCCATAACCTTGGCTTTTGTGAAGTGCTCAGCAGCTGTCAGTGAGTGCTCAGCAGAGGATGAGCACAGGGTGGAATCTGACAGTTTCGTTGTCTTTAATTCAGCTAAAATGAAAAAGTTAATTTTAATAATTGTGACCATTGATACTAGCAATGTTAATAGTGGGATACTCAGTAATCTGAAGGCCTGTCTTGTGCCTGGAAGAATGGCGTTCTCAACAAAATTATTAAGGATATCTTTGAAATTAATTTAGGAAGAACAGTACCTCACATTGGTAAGCCTTCTTGCATTAAAAGTTATTTCTTTAGTGTCCTTACTATCATATTATGAAAATATTGCTAAATGGACAGATTCAGATAAAATTTAATCAAGCAATAATAAGCATTTCAAAATTCCTTTATTATTTTAGTACAAAGATAACATACCTAAATTGAGTGTACACAGACACTGAGCATGACACTAAAATAAAAAATTAATGTTCATGTGAATGTGTTCATTTACTCTCACATCTTGAATGCTCCACTGATACTGGTAGAGTTATTTCTTAGTAGAACCTACTGTTCTTCAGCCTACATGGATTAGAATATCCTGATTCTCCAGGATTAAGGTTGGTCTCTAGATATGGAGACAAGCAACCCAAAAGTGTTCATAGTTTGCCAAGTGTATTGGAGGACTGAGAAACACCTCATGGAAGTAGCAAGTTTTAACATCTCAAAGCAATAACACTGTTGTTGGCTGCATGTATGTATCTTCTTACAGTAGGTACTTGAAAAATATACAATGAATATCCCCTATAATATTTCAGACAGAAATACATAGGAATGGGATTATTTTGAGTGCAAGTAGGATATCAGGATGATGGCAATGTGAGGGGTTTTTTTCACTAAGCAAGTTCTTCAGGATTCTTTCTAATTCGTAAGATGGGCAGAAGCAGTTCTGCTGGCAGGTCTTTCTACCATAGTGATGGTCTTCAACTCATAAGTATTGAAAATGAATTTTAAGGAGAAAATATTTTTCTTATTTATGTATTTATTTATTTATTTGAATTCCATTCATCACAGTATATGTTACATAAAAAGAACTATGTAGTAATATCTAAATGCTTGCAATCCATTTACTGGGACGTTTGTGTACCAGTAGTTATGAGCTGTGGACAACAGCTGAACTAAATGTGTTGTTGTCCACTTGGAAAGTATTCAAGTATGTTTTACATTGTCAAAACCAAGCATTATGGATCACTGAAGGCTCTGACGTCTCAGAAGTATATTCTAGTTTTTGGTATTACTGAGAAATATCAAATTCTTCTTTGCAAATTAATCCATTCTTTAAAGTAGCTAATTGAAGGAAAAAAAAAAAAAAAGGAGAACACATGTATTTTTCAAATCAAAAATACTATGTTATGTCTTATGGTGGGAAACAACAGAAGATCAGATTTTCTTCTTTAATGTCTTTATAACTTTGTCTTCTATTCCATCATTTCTAATTTTCATAAACTGGGAGTCCAATTATAGGAAAACAAAATGGGTACCAGATATAGGTATATGAAAAATGGTGTTTCAGTTTTGCTTTTTTTTCCTCCGTTCCTTGAAAATTTCTAATTTAACAAATCTTTAGGAGAAGAAAATTCTGTAGACTGAATCAAAGCAACTCCCACCCATGCATCAGTGGGGTTAAAATGGTAGATTGGATTGTACATGTCAAAGGGATTATGTGAATGTTATCGATACACCGTTGTTCTGTGTTATTTATATTTTCATCATTAGTCCATAAAGTCTTAATAATTAGCTCTCTAATTTCCCAGAAATCATGCTAATTTGTTGACCTGGTTGAAGGAAAAAAAAAAAAAAAAGATGACCAATCTGGCATGGTAAGTTAATAATATAGAACAAAGCATAGTCATAATTAGTTGAGAAAAGAACTTTCCATGTTCATTCCAGTTCATAATAAAAAGTCCCTCACCAAAGTGACTTAGAAAATAATGCATTCAGACTGAGCAGAATTACCGCCTAGCAGATTCTATTTATCTGTAGCTTAAAAAGCAGCTGCGTTTTTGTAAAAAGCAATGAATGTGGCAGTCCTACTTAAAGGTAGAAGAAAAAGAACACCCCTTGTTTTGTAATAAGGGGATTTTCAATTTAAAAGAGAGAGCGAGCCTGTTGTGTGAAGTATGGTTATTACATTCACTGTATTCTATCTCACCCACCAGGAGGCTAATAACGAAGGAGTCAGTGAAGGAGACCGATGCCACGAGGGTTATCTCACAGCCCCAGATGCTGGATAAGTTGAAGGAAGCAGAATCGCTTTTGGATGACATTCAGGAAGGCCTTGAATGATTATCTGGTGAAAAAAAGACTGTTCTTTCCAAGGTAAACAGTCCATTTTGTCTGTATGGTGTTGGTGTAAAATATGTTTATATAAATACCTCTAAAGTTCATTTTTTATCATTTTTCAGGTTTTTTTTTTTATCTCTCAATGCAGCAATGATCTCTCAGGAATCCTTTTTGAGACAAAGGATCACTCCACATCCAACCACACCTAAGGAAATGCTTTGAAGGAATTGAGCAGCTCACTTTTAATCACAAGAGAGAAATTACCCACATGGAGTCAGCAGAAAATGAAAAAGTAGAGCTCGTGCTGTGAATAATTCCAGCAAGTGCCAAGGGGCTAGTTGAGAAATGACTTCATGAGGTGAATATCTTTAGCTCTTACTTACGGTTTAGTTACTGTATGATCATTTTCTCTTTTAGGAGCAATGACTATCATAAGTGTATTTCCTAACTAAATAGCTCTCTGAATATTTGTCAAGACTTCAACGTTATTGTTGTTATTTATTGCAATGAATTTAGCATCTGCAAACCTACAGAAATCAATTCTAATAAAAAGCTCTCTGAGTCAGGCTGTCAGTAGAAGTCGGTCTGTGTCTGAAACCATATGTGTGAATATATGTTTGAGTCTACATGTATGTGTTTTTGTGCTTTCATGGTGTAATGTCTGTAGTTCAGGAGGATAACACGTAAAAAATAACCAGAGAAATGTAAGATTTTGAATGTTGCCCCCACCCTCCAGAAAGTGTGTCCCATTGTGTTGGAGGGGTTTAATATCCAATCATTATAACAAAAGGAAAGAGAAATTATGTCACTGATAACATCCTAACCTTTCCCCTTTGGGCCTCTCATCCAAATTCATTGGTTTCAGTATGAAATTAGTTTGGTGACCTTTTTTGTCTGCTTTTTTTAACCTTCCTCCCCCAGTGGCTGGGAATGGGACTTTCCCTTCTTTTTTCGTTTCTGGGCATTTGTCTTCCAAGTGCTTACCTTTCTCCTGGGGTAGGATCACCCTTAGGAATGCCACTTCCCCTTTGTTCGCTGTAGTTGTGGTGCTGATCTTGTCCTCGGCTTTTTCCTGGGTACCCCCTAGGTAAGGGCAGTGGCAGGGAGCTGCACTCAGCTCCAGTGGGAGAGGGAAGGAGAGGCTGGGGGGCTACTACTTTTATATTTGGATAATTTGGCAGAGGCTGTTGGAGAATCCCTGAGCAGTGAAACCCAGAGCAGGTGGCAGGTCGAAGACATTTGCCCCTGTTATGTATCATGTTTCTGATGGCTGGGTGAGCAAAGCTGGACTGCTTAAGTCGGCTTGTGAATCCTGTTTCCCACCTAATGGGGCTGCATGGCAACAATGTGCCAGTCTTGGACTGAGCCCCTTTTAGAATTGTGACTGCACACAGTTTAAAATGGTCCATCTGCAGCATCATTCAAGGTAGGGAAGGAAGAAGAAGAGGGCAGGATTTAGGCAAGCCCAAACACTTCCCGTCCTGTTCTCCATGTCAAGTCACTTGGCTCTTTTTTGGAATAGTTTCCAGCACAAAGTTATCTCTCTAAAAACGGGGGGAAAAAAAGGAAAAAAAAAAAAAAAAAAAGAGTGACAGTGGGTAAATGTCAGTCCTGAGGATCCCAGGGAAAGCCCAGATTCTCAAGCCTGCAATATACTTTTTAGTTTTTACCTTCTTCCACAAAAGAAACAGAGCTGGGGGAGGTGAGCAGCTGTGTTTATTTTAATACATCTATTTTAATCCTCACCTAAAAACAAATTGGAAGGTTTGGGAGTGCATTAATCTGGATTCTATTAGTGTCTCTTTCTCCCTCAAAAGTGCAACCTGAGATTAATTAATATAAACCAGAGTTTCATATGCAGTCTTTAAGTCATTTGCATGTTTTATGCATGATAATTGAATTTATTTATGCACTTCCTTTCATTTAATGATTTCTCACTCTTTTCTATGCTATCAACATTATATTATGCAAGATGTAGGATTTGGTAGGCAAGAAAGGATAGCAGTATATAAATCAAATCTGAGGTAATTTTTAGTTCTAGTGTCAACACTAGATCAGAATTAATATTGGTCCCATGCCAGTGGGGTTGCATGGCTGGGAAAATGTTAAATATTTTTGGTAAAGCATAGACTCTTAGCTTAATGAGACATTTCTGATGCAGCCTAGTTTGCTTGCAAGTGTACAAGCAAAATTATTTTTGAATGGCAGTTAAATTATTGTATTGACTTTTCAATGACCCTAGAGACTTGTGTTTCTACTTGGCCAATTAGTAGTAATAAGAAGATGAATAGTAATTACATTAATAAATAACTGTGTTCAGACCAGGACCTTGGTATTATACTCTGGCTTAGAAAATAAGGGTATATTATAATTTGTCTCATTTGGTCATCAGGAGAAATATGGACTTTGGAGTTACAGTAATTTTATCATAGCCAGGAAGGTAAAAGTCCTAGGGGCGAATGGGTCATATGAGATAGCAGCTCTGTGGTAGTGGCTGTTTCAGTGCCATAAGCATGGAATCTTGCTTTGTTTCTGCAATTAAGCTCAGACGTCTTAAAGATGTCTTTAGTGATGTAGTCTGATTTTTTTATAATGCATGCCAGGAAACCACTATGGAAAACAGTTTTAAAAAGATGCTGGTAGTGGTGCTTTCATAGCATTTATCAATGCCAGTTTCTTTCGTGTCTCTTGTCTTTCTTATGTCTTGAAAGATGTATGTGGAAGTGATATTTTTCTGTGGTGTCCTGTCTTTTATCAGTGAATTAAATGGTTGTGTCTTGTGATCGTTTCTTGATTCTTGTAGGTAGGAACGTGTTTAAAGGCTAAAGTTCTTTTAATTTGTAGTGTAACCATTTTGGTGTCTTTCTTGTCATTGAAATGTAGTTTAAAATGTTCAGTAATGTAGCATGAAATCATTGGTTTAGTTTTGGAATGGTGGTGAAATCATGTGAAGAAAATAAGTATTGCATCTGATCAAGATAAATTCACTCTAGTGTTTTATGGCTTTTTATTCCTATGTGATAGTAATAAAGTCTCATGTAGGGATGGAAGCCATGAAATACATTGTGAAAAATCATCAACTCAGATGGGGCCATCAGGATAGCATGCTGTAGTTGTAGAGTTATTGAGAATGATTGGAAGACGATTTAGTATGTCACCACTTTGACCATGTTTTTGCATTTTGTTTCTTCATCCTTCACCCACGTAGTTTGATGAGAGGAAATCAGTTTGTAACGAGCTGATCCAATTTTACATCAGCGTTCAGTGTTTAAATTGTTCATACATCTTTCATTTTCTGACAAAGATAACACTGTATATGAAACCCTAAGCTGAGAATTTAATATAGCTAATAAACACATGCCAAAATGAAAACAAAGAAGAGTCAATGAATTTCTAAATGCTTGGAAACTAAGAAGGAATCAAAGCAAGTTTTACCTTGTTAGCAACTGGTTCAGCTTCTTTATTTTCATGTTTGAGAGCAAATCTGAGAGATGATTCGGGGATTTAATCCCTGTGCTCTTTTACATGGGCTCCTGTACTTTTCTCCATTTCCCTGCTTGTGTGTCTTTCTGAAAATTCACGTTCTTTTGCCTCTCTGGAACTGAGATAAAGGCTGACAATGTTGGGGTCAGAAAACAATTTCTGACAATGTCTTTACAGTGCTGCTGTTCCATATACTGCCTTACTGCTTTGTCTTCTTTTCTTTTGGATACCAATTTCCTTTGTGAATATTTTGGAGAATGTTATTTATTTTACAATTTTCCTGTTGTATTATTTCTCTGAAGCCTATGTTAATAAAACATTATGGATTCTTTGGTACTTTGACTCCTTTATTATTTCTCTAGGGTGTGAATTTTTTCTCTGCTAAAAGGTACTTTCTCATTATTGTAACTAAGGACATCTTCTGGTCAAAAGCCCCAGTGATAAGTAGGCAGGATATACATTTCCCATTTTATTATAAATTTAAATTTCTTCTTTAGATCAAATAGCACAGAGAGAATTTAACCATGTTTAAATTCACAAATGTTGTGCGGCGATTATTTCAGTCTTACATGGGCTGAAAAAGATGGTAGACATATGTTTGCTCCAATGTTGCCATGTGAAAAGAACTTATAAAAACATAGAAAACATGTTACCTTCGGACTCCTATTAAAAGGAAAAGTATTTTCCTTCTTATATATTAGAAAAATTGTTTTCAAGAGTGTCCAGGGTGTACAACCAAGAGAATAAACTGGGTTTATTTTTCCAATTTTTATTTCACTAAGATAATTTTTATTGTCATGTTTTCAAATCTGCATTGGTGGCTAGTTTACAGAGACCTAAAAAGAAGTCCTTTAAATAGATTTACATGGGCTCCTGCACTCTTTTACATGGGCTCCTGTACTTTTCTCCGTTTCTCCCAGTTTAATGTTGAATTGCAGTTAAACTATTTTGTTGATAAATGATATACAATTCATCTTTACTGCAAACTAGACTTTTAAAAGTAGTCTACAGTCCCACACATAGAGCATATTTTCTGTACTGTATTTTGTCTCCAAATTACTTCAAGATTCAAATGTTTTCAAAGTTGGAGTAGTTCTTTTAAATGCCAAGGCAAATGGTTGAACATGGGACTTTAAAGGATAGTGGAGCTCTTCTCCAGTATGTATGGAAGGGCCCTACTGACCAAAAATTAAGTCCTCAGTTTAAGCAGCACCAACCTATTAATCTAGATTGCTTCCTTTGCAGTACTTTTATTTTCAATAAATTTACATAGATGTAACTGGAACTTACTAAATAATGTTTTATTTTTTAACAGTTGAGGAGAATCCAGCTCATTGTCCTATAGTAGTTCTGTTTCTACAATGGTCAAAGGAGTACTGTGTGTTTTTTGGGGGGCATCTAGTATTACAAACTGGTGTGATACATTCACTCCAAGAATGATATACTTGCTTTCTATAATATGAAGGTGATTTGACCAGTAAAATAAGTTATTCTCACCTTCCAATAAATTATATGGAGTCGATGGCTGAGATGGGATTACTGTGACTGTGTTTCTGTGTTGAGGTGCTAAAAATATTAGATTTGATTCTGTCATGCAAATACAGCTTCATGTCCTTGTGTCCACTGAGAACAAACCTTTTACTTGGAGTGAGAGCAGGACCAATTCATGTCTGCCATTACAAGGCCTGTCAGCATATCAGTAGGAGTTTTTGTCTTGCCAACTTTATTTGTCCCATTTGCCTAGTGAAATATAGGATAAGAGTAAAAATTTAAGCATGGCTTTTGTAAACTGCCTAAATCTGTTTTTCCAAATAGAAGTCACAAAGTGGTGAAATCAAAATGCGTGCAGGGAAATGCTAGGAAAGTTATAGTCCT